CAATGACCAGAACCTCCCCCCCCCCAAAAAAAAAGAAAGAAAGAAAGGACACTAAGTTCAGCAGAAAGTAACAAATACAATTCTTTACCCAATGCTAAGCAGAATTTTCCCATTTTTGTATTTCCATATATTTCAAAGGAACTTCATAGAAATTAAATGCCCAATTAAGCCAATGGCCCCAATCATCTGGGATGCCATTAAATGCCTATTACAAAAGTTATTGCATTCCCAAATCTACACACCGAGAAAGAGTTATCTGAGGTGTAATCATATACCAAATCAAAGGGTAGGGTCATTTTCTAAATGACACAATCTACTTACTATCAGTCCTAGAAGGTCCCCATTATCTCTACACTAACATTTAACAATGCCCCTGGGAAATGACAAGCAATCATGTTTTGAGAACAAATATTTTTTGCATTTTTTTCTTTCCTTCGTCTTTATCAGTACAGATATTTGCATGAAAACAAGATCTCTGGTCCTTGGGGATTCATCAGTTCCTAGTGCCTATTTTTCATCCATGTCATCCTCTCAATTAATGCAGGAAAGAGGATTGAGACATTACCAGATTAGGGTGTCAAATGAAAGCCAACCCCCAGAGTAGATGAATCATCTGTAAGGATAAAAAAAGATCTTGTTTTTATGCAAATATACTAAACACAATAAAACAAAGAGGCTGCATCCAAGAAGTCCAATACATATCCATGAAATTATTTCTAATTGTAACTCTTCAAAGTATGTTCTTATGTCAGCTAAATTCACTATGGGTCAAGGAAAATGGCAATCAGTTGCAAAGTACAGCTACAGAAGGTGAAAAAAGGCCAAATTCTGCATTCAAAGATAATTTAAAAGCATTTCAGCACTATATGGTAGAAACAAGCATTTATTGTACAATTTGGGTTCAGTGCTTTAAGGAAGCTTAGTTATTTCAAACTTCCTCACCCAATGTATTAAATTCCTAGAAATATAAACATTTAATACTCAACAGTGGCTTTTAATCTACAGATTATAAGCAATGCAAAGTAAAAACACATTAGAAAATACAAGAATGTTCTTAATATGTGGGCAGTTTTTAAAACAGACTTATTGATGGTTACAGAATTGACTCATTCTGAAAACAAAACAAAAAAGAATTGTTTTGTTATTCCAATAGGAACAGCTACAAATAAATCAAAAAGCTGATAAGATACAGCCCTTAGTAAGAAAATTCTAAACAATAAGAAGGAATGACAGAATATCAGTACCTAGGAATCTTTAATAAAATAGTGGCCTAGACTGTAATCAAAGGCTACTGTGAAGCCGGGCACCAGTGGCTCCCTCCTATAATCCTAGCTGCTCAGGAGGCTGAAATCTGAGGATCACCGTTCAAAGCCTGCCCAAGCAAGAAAAGTCCTTGATACTCTTATCTCCAATAAACCACTAGAAAACGGGAAGTGGCGCTGTGGCTCAAGCGGTAGAGGGCTTGCCTTGAGCTAAAGAGCTGAGGGATAGCTCCCAAGCCCAGCGCTCAAGCCCCATGACCAACCAAAAAAAAAAAAGCTATTGTGAGTTAAAGGTTAATGCAGAATTTTACAATGAATAGACAGGCTAACAATATTTTTGTCAATTATTAATCTGAATATCACACAAAAAGAAGCTAGGAAGACTTAATATAACCTCTGGTGATATACACAACACTACCTGTACAATATTCTTGCCCTCCCGCCACCCCCCGAAAAAAAAATCATGCTTTGGGGCTGGGAATGTGGCTTAGTCTAGGTAGAGTGCTTACATGAAGCGCTGGGTTTGATTCCTCAGTACCACATAAACAGAAAAAGCCTGAAGTGGTGCTGTGGCTCAAGTGGTAGAGGACTGGCCAAAAACAATTTTTTTTAAATCATGCTTTTTTATTTGATTTTCTTTCAATATCCATACAAATTCCTCAATCTATCAGAAAATAAAAAAGTGATTAACATGGTAAGCACAACCTCATGGACATAAATAATGAACAAAATCTAGAATCTGGGCTGAGAATGTAGCTTAGTGGTAGAGTGCTTGCCTAGCATGCATGAAGCCCTCGGTTCAATTCCTCAGTACCACATACACAGAAAAACTGGAAGTGGCACTGCTGTAGCTCAAGTGGTAGAGTGCTAGCCTTGAGCAAAGAAGCTCAGGGACAGTGCCCAGGCCCTGAGTCAAGCCCCAGGACTGGCAAAAAAAAAAAAAATCTAGAATCTGAGAAACCAAATAAATGAGGAGGTTTAATAAATGATAAGAGAAATTAAAAGGGAAGTAGACAATAGACTAAAATGGATCTAAGAGATCAATTAAATACAGCATGTATCAAATACCCTAATTTAGATCCTAGTTCAAACAAACCAATGGTAGAAAGTCCTCTATGATTCAACTAGGGAAACATGGCTAGTTCACGGTATTAAACAAGCTTATCAAAATTGGTCAAGCATAGCTGGGTGCTGAAGGGTCACACCTGTAATCATTGCTACTCAAGGAGGCTCAAATTTGAGGACCAGGGTTCAGCCCAGGCAGTAAACTCCACAGGATTCTTATCTCCAGTTAACCACCAGCAATTCTATCCAAGCCTGACAGTCATGAATTTAAAACCGGCTTTTTCATGTTAAACCTTGGTTTCCCATGACACACTTGGTTATTAGTTTTGCCAAGGATAAACTCTAGTCAGAAGAAATATATTACCCGGATATAGAGAAAAGCAAGGTATCAACAAATGAACTTAACAGACCACCCAAAAACCACAAGTAATTTATTGCCCTCTACTGTTTGATTCATGAGGTGATTAAAGAATATTATATTAGCTGGACACCGGTGGCTCACGCCTGTAATCCTAGCTACTCAGGAGGCTGAGATCTAAGGATCACTGTTCAAAGCCAGCCTAGGCAGGAAAGTCTTGTGAAACTCTTATCTCCAATAAACCACTCAGAAAACCAGAAGTGGCACTGTGGCTCAAGTGGTAGAGCACTAGCCTTGAGCTGAAGAGCTGAGGGGCACTGCCCAGACTGAGTTCAAGCCCCATGACCAACAACAACAAAAAAAGAATATTATATTGGAAAAACAAATCCAACTGTAGGCTGGGTGTATACCTTCATGTTAGAGCACTGGTCTAGCATATGCAAGCCCCAGATTCAATCTAAAGCATCATGAAACAAAACAAAACTAACAACAACAACAAAACTCCAACAACAAAACAAACAAAAAACCTAACTGATGCTGATGAAACGAAATAAAGGCCAAAATGATACATTTAAATTTGAAAGTGAAATGAAGAATGTAGCAGTAACTTAAATCAATGATGTCAACAAAGCTACTCTATGTTCTACACGCTAGCAAGGGTAGGGAATGTTGGGTAAATAAAGACCAAGAAATCTTTGGTACATGATAGGACAAATACATATGCTTCTCATCCTGAATGATGTTATAAATATCCAAATGACCCTTGGCAGAAAGTAAGATTTTCTACCCCTGTAAGAAACGAGAAAAACACATCTAAAGATGATTTTTTAACTGCCCCAAAATAGTATAAAACTTGCATTGTTGAGGGTTACTCAGGGGTTAAACTCATGGCCTTGGGCTTGCTGAGCAGGTGATCTACCACTTGAGTCCAAACATCAGGACACAACTTTCAAGATTATGTATTTAAGGAAGGTCCCAGGTATACTCCTTGAGAACAAAGTTTTAACCACTGTATTTATGTTGAGTATCTTTTCTTTCAATTACAAAATGAGAAATTTGTATCATTTCTTTGCCAGTTTTATAGTGAATATAGTATGAAATACAAAATATAAAAATAATTTTAATCTGGGTGCCTGTGGCTCATGCCTACAATACTAGCTACTCAGGAGACTGAGATCTGAGGATTACGATTCAAAGCCAGACTGGGCAGAAAAGTCCATGAGACTCTTATCTCCAATTAACTCCAGAAAACTGGAAGTGATGCTGTAGCTCAAGTGGAAGAACACTAGCCTTGAACTGAAGAGGTGAGGGTCAGCATCTAGGCCCAAAGTTCAAGCCCCACAACTGACAAAAAATAAAATAAAATAAAATAAAAATAATAGAAGAGCTGGGAAGGTGGCTCAGTGGTAGAGTGCTTGCCTTGCATGCGTGAGGCCCTGGGTTCGATTCCTCAGCACCACATAAGCAGAAAAAGCCAGAAGTGGGCGCTGTGGCTCAAGTGGTAGAGCGCTAGCTGAGGGACAGCACCCAGGTTGAGTACAGGCCCCAGAACTGATTTAAAAAAAAAAAATTAGAGAGCATAAAGGCATAAGTGAAAAATGTTAAAGCATTACTCCTGGTAGGAGATTCTTGGTTTGTCATATATTCCTTCCTTTGGGAATCAATCCTTTTCTCACATTCTCCATGATTTGGGTCAGACCAACTCCAACTTCTCTATTTTGTATCTGTAGCCAGGATCTAGGTAGGCCTGGGTCCATCACAGTGCTTCATGCTATGTGGACAAAGGACTAGCTTACAGATGACTATGTGAACCAACACAGAGCGGTCAAATCCTTCCCCAGCATCTTTCTTTTGGAAAATCCAATGAACACTATATAATCCAAAGAAACTATATAAACTGAATCTCCTTTTGGCTAACTTTCCCAATGCTGAGATAAACCTATTGTAGCAGCAAAGAAAGACTAATGCAAAAATTAAGAGTATATCCCAATGACGTCAAGGGTCATGGATCTAGACATATCCTCAAAGCTATTTCTACCCTTGGAATTTCAGTAAACTAATGCAAACTTACCAGTGTCTCTTTGGCTTAAGGCAGTTTTGATGTTCTACCACTAAAAAACTGAAGAGGTTCCAATACACTTTTAATGCACAGAGAAAAATTATGTTACCTAGTAAATCCAGTAATTAGTACAACTTATCATAAACACACACTTTAGACAGAACATCATTTTTTTCTCTATTAAAGGGAAAAATACATTTTTCTAAACATAACTAGAACTCCTAATGGGATGAACAAATGTGTAGTGGGTACTCACACTCATCCAGCCCCAACTGATAGGCCAGGTTCTGTAAGCCGCGTACTTTCTCCATCAAATTAGCTGTTGTTAGGCTCCCCAGTTCTGAAATAGAAATAATTTATTTCAATATCATTTCTTCACACTAGGAATCTTGGAAATAAAAAGTTTTCAACCAGGTCTGGGGTATAGTAGCATGCACAAGGTCCTGGATTTGATCTCCAGCACCACAAGAGAAAAAAAGTTGAGTTTAGGGGCTGGGAAGTTGGCTCAGTGGTAGAGCGCTTGCCTTGAATGCCTGAGGCCCTGGGTTCGATTCCTCAGCACCACATAAGCAAAAAGAAAAAAGCCGGAAGTGGCGCTGTGGCTCAAGTGGTAGAGAGCTAGCCTTGAGCTGAGGGACAGCGCCCAGGCCCAGAGTTCAGGCCCCAGGACTGGACCCAAAAAAAAAAAAAAAAGTTGAGTTTAACTCCTATTGAGTAAGTAGGAGTAAATACCCATATTTATTCTCCTTCACTCTTGTACACACACACATAGAGACACACACTAGTGAAACTTTTCACTACTGCAAAATGCCACTTAATGAGAGGAGTTAGCATAAACAACAAATTAAGTAATCTATCCTAAGGAATTATTTTGTCTATCATACAAAATTGCCTATCATTTATCATTTTGTCTATCATATACCATTAAAATATGAAGCTTTATGATGTGATATAGCATTGATTAAGCATTTTGGACAGGTCTCTTGAGTAGCTATGATTATAGGTGTGAGCCACCAGTGCCTGGTTTACTCAATTCCTTTTAAGTTTAAAACACAGGTTAATTTGTAATGACAATGGTGGTGCTAGGGATTAAACTCAGGGCCTCATGCATGTTCTCCCATTTGAGCCACACCTCCAGCTCCTTCTCAGTAAAAATGTAAAGTTTCCTTAGGAAATACAGGCCACAATATATTAATGAGTTTCAAATATTACAACATCAAACCCAGAATTCTCTTAAAACTTTATTTGTTCATAGCTGGAGAAGAAAATCTGTATTGAAACATGCAAAGCAATTAAATACTTCTGAATCAAATAAATATGACTTTCTTCCATTTATCATTTTGAATTCATTATCTGTAAATGGTAGAGACTTTCTTGATCTGTTCAGCTCAAGAATTTCAAATTTGGGGCTGGGAACATGGCTTAGTGGTAGAGTGCTTGACTAGCATGCAAGAAGCCTGGGGTTCCAGTCCTCAGTACAACATAAACAGAAAAAGCTGGATGTGGCATGTTGGCTCAAGTAATAGAGTGCTAGCCTTGAGCAAAAGAACTTCAGGGACAGTGCTCACTCAGGCCCTTGGTTCAAGACCCAGAATTGGCAAAAAAAAAAAAAATTAAAGAATTCCAATTTACTTGAATTTCCAGCTATTACTTCACAACCATCATAAATTTTACTACAGAAGGATAATTTTAAAATAGAATAAAAGCATAAATTTTAAATTTTGAGTTTAAAACTCAAATATTAAATTCATATTAAGTTCTAAGTCATTTATCAAGCAATATCATATCAGCCAAGCACTGGTGGCTCATGCCTGTAATCCTAGCTATTCAGGAGGCTGAGATTTGAGGATCACAGTTCAAAGTCAGAAAACCAGAACTGGCAGTATGGCGCAAAGTAGTAGAACAGTAGCTCTGAGCAGAAGAACTCAGAGACAGTGCCCAAGCTCCGAGTTAAAACCCCATGACCAACCAAAAAAAAAAAAAAAACTATAAATTCTTTGTGGAAGAAATCAATATGACTGAAATAAAAGGTCTTAGCCCACTAAGAAATTATTATTTAATAATACTGATAATAGTGAAATGAGACTATACTTAAAAGATTAGAAGTTAAAGGGGCTGGGAAGGTGGCTCAGTGGTAGAGCGCTTGCCTTGCATGCTCGAGGTCCTGGGTTCGATTCCTCAGCTCCACATAAGCAAAAAGAAAAAAGCCAGAAGTGGCTCTGTGGCTCAAGTGGTAGAGAGCTAGCCTTGAGCTGAAGATCTGAGGGACAGCGTTCAGGCCCCACTACTGGACCCCCCCCCAAAAAAAGATTAGAAGTTAAAGCCAGATGTGGGTGGCTCATACCTGTAATCCTAGTTATTCAGAAGGCTGAGATCTGAAGATCACGGTTGAAGCCAACTGAGGCAGAAAACTCCCCGTGAGACTCTTATCTGCAATTAACTACTCAAAAACTGCAAGTGCTGCTGTGGCTCAAGTGGTAGAGCCCTAGCCTTGAGTACAAAGAGGCTCAGAGACAGCATCAAGAGTTTAAATTTTAACTCTTGCTAATAAATTGGCCAGTTAGCCTCCGAACTTTGCATGTTAGCATATATAACCAACAGGACCTTTGAAAGAATTAAGAAAATTTATGTGAATTTTTTGTTATTGTTGTTGTTAACTGTGGCTTTATACAAAACTAAATACTAAATGAATTAGCAAAAGAATTTATTGCAATTTGGTCCTGAATTGGCAAGATTTCTACCCAAGGAAAAAGTACATGCACAAAGGAGCTCCAGACATGAAGAAGGCAATATGAAGGCATAAATATTGTAAAGAAGCACTGAGAGAAAAAAAAAAAACTTAAAAAGCTAGAAAGATACTTTGTGGAAGACAGTATAGTAAAAGAAGGCAAGCTAGGGATAGTGGTCGCCTAGAGCTCCATTGGAGAGGCTAAACCAGGAGAACACTGATCTCATTAGTTTCAGAGCAGCCCAAGCATCACAGTGAGTTCTCTACCAAAGAGGGCAGTAGCTAGCATCACTTACCTTTCAACATGTCAATGTCATCACGTTCTATTTCGGCCATCCATTTGGGTGGAGAGTTAGTAATAGGCTGTCAAAAAAATAAGAATATATACATTCTAAAACATAAAGAGTAAAGAGATTCAACCCTTTCTTCTTAAAAGGAATATAGCCTGTCACACAGCATTCAGATTGTTTGAAGACAATGGGCAAATTACTATTAAAAAAAAAACAAAAACAAAAACGCAGGGGGAAGGGGGGGAGTGGAGAGGATGGGGGGGGAGGATGGGAAGGGATGGGAAGGGGAAACAAAAGGAGGCTACAATGCTTGATAAGAAATGTACTCATTGTCTTGCCCATGTAATTGTAACCCCTTTGTACAGTATTTTCACAATTAAAAACAAAACAAAAACACAATTTTTTTCCAGGTTCAAATATGAGCTATAGTCAGTCACCTTATAAGATAATCCTGCTCATCATTAAAAGTCCAGAAGCTGGGCATTGGCTCATGCCTGTAACCCTAGCTACTCAGAAGGCTGATATCTGAGGATCATGGTTCAAAGGCAGCCTGGCAGCAAAGTCTGTGACACATTAATTACCAAAAAGTCAGAAATGGTGCTATAGCTCAAAATAGACCACTGGCTTGGGCACAAAAGCTTAAGGACAGTGCCCAGGGCCTAAGTTCACACCCAAGACTGGCACAAAGAAAAAAAAAGTCATCTCAAAGAGATCTTAGAAGAACTTGGTAACACTACTATCAGTACTTAACATACGAAAAGTGTGTATAGCAATTAAACTATATGAAATTCCATTCAGGTAAAAAAAACACAACACAAAACTCCAACTAAATTGCTTGAAACAATAATCATAAACGTTCTCTGGCAGAAAGAATAAAAAAGACTTAAGTAAGAAAAGAATGAAATGGTCATTACTCGAAACTTCATACTTGGTGCTGGGAATGTGGCTTAGTGGTACAGTGCTTGAAGCCCTGGGTTCCATTCCTCAGTACCACATAAACAGAAAAAGCTAGAAGTGGTGCTGTGGCTCAAGAGGTAGAGTGCTAGCCTTGAGCCAAAGAAGTTCAGGGACAGTGCCCAAGCCTTGAGTTCAAGCCCCAGAACTGGCAAAAAAAAAAAAAAATCATACTAGTAAAAGTAGAATTTTATCTTCTCATTTCTGCAAATATACTTAAAACTATGAAAGAAAGCTCTCTTAGAATAGCATTGAGTTAGCAGTGTTCTTCCCTAATTGCTTATGAGAATCATGTAAGTAACCTTAAAATATATATATAAATGTGTATGGTTGTTCAGACCTGTGGTCTCAGCAATGGAGAGTCACAAGTAGGAGGACTGTAAATTCAAGGCCAGCTTCAGTTATGTATGTAGCAAGTTCAAGTTGATGCCAGCAAATATATAAGCAATTAAGCCTTGACCACACCCCACATGTACTGATTTAGGGGGCCAAAGGGAGTGTCCAGTGGAAAAAGTAGAGCAAGGGTACTGACAAATATATTCTTCAATAACTCCACAGCTGTACTCTAGTTGTTCTGTCATGCAGACAAGGCACAGAGATTATGAAACATTATTTCAGCCTTGAATACTTCTTTGCAAAAATTTAAATTTTAGCTGGGCGCCGGTGGCTCACGCCTATAATACTAGCTACTCAGGAGGCTGAGATCTGAGGATCACAGTTCAAAGCCAGCCCAGGCAGGAAAGTCCGTGAGACTCTTATCTCCAATAAACCACTAGAAAACAGGAAGTGGCACTGTGGCTCAAGGGGTAGAGCGCTTGCCTTGAGCTGAAGAGCGCAGGGAAAGCACCCAAGCCCAGAGTTCAAGTCCCATGACCAACCAAAAAAAATAATAATAATAACTTTTACTCAGTACTATACAACAAAGAAAGTACTTTACAACATGTCATTTATTTTGAAACAACCCTAATCCTCATTTTAATAAATTAAGAAACCAGGGCTGGGAAGGTGGCTCAGTGGTAGAGCGCTTCCCTTGCATGCCTAAGGCCCTGGGTTCAATTCCTCAGCACCACATAAGCAAAAAGAAAAAAGCCGGAAGTGGCGCTGTGGCTCAAGTGGTAGAGCGCTAGCCTTGAG